GCCATCAGCCTGCAGAGGACCAAGATTAGTACTGGCAGATGGTCAGCAGACGCATGGATGACGTTGGACCGCTTCCACGTTTCATCTTCACTGGGGCTGAGCTCATTGAGTGCAATGAGGCAGTTAACAGCGTCTTGCAGGCGGTTGATGCCTCGGTTGCCAAAGCCTTCCTTTGCTCGGCAGGAATAGAAATTTTGGTGTGCGGGGGAACCGTGCCGGAGACCTGTGAAAATTGTGCGGATACGTGACGAATGCGGCTTTGAGGGGATGCGTACCGTGCCTTTGTGTGGATGGATTAAGGGAAATGTATATAACTGTTGAACTGACGTACTGGCCTTCAAGGAGGCCTTGTCACTGTCACCGTGTGGATCTCGCCTTTTTTAAAAGTCCTGAGAACATGTGTTCAGGCCCCACACACGGGGAGGGCCTTCGTGGGCACGCCACAAAAGAGACTTGTGGGGCTGCGGTCATCGGCAGGAGGTCTGGCGTTGTCCTGCGTGCTGCGGGTGATGCCGGGATCGCGCCCGGAGGAAACGCCTTGAGATTGACCCAGAAAGAACTTTCCCGCTGCAATGATTGATGTTAAGTGCAGGGTGTTGCACGGAACGGCAACCGGAAACTTTTTCTTTCTGTAGAGGCATTTTATTGTGAATTTCCGGCGTGGGAGGACGGTTGGGCCGCAGGCTGCGGCGGCGATGCCGGCACAATGAGGCAGTTCGGTGAGTGCACAGCGAGGTGTATTTAATAAAATGGGGAAACTTTTGTCGACGAGTTGTCGAGGGGGAAATTATTTGCGTGTGGCACGCTGCGAGTGCGCCAAATCACACACGTGGCGGGGTGTGACACCGTCGCGCCCCCAGTTGCTGCTCACCATAAAGAGGAGGAGAACACGGTGTGTTTTTGGCACCGGAAGGTGCGTCAGTGCAGGGTGGCGACATCGTATGGAGGCGTACGTGCCGTGCGTGGTGGTTGAAGCGGTTTCTTGTTTTCCCCTGAGACTCTTTGAGGTGCTTCACTTCCACGAGCACCGCGGTGCGGCTGGGAGGCGGACGATTGCGGCTAGGTTGTTGGTGGCGGTGGTATCGCTGCGAGAGTTTGTTTTTGTGGCCGCAGAGTGAAGGCATCTGCTGCATGTGTCTTGTAGTGGTGGTGCTGCGTGCGCTGTTTATTTTGTATTGTTTTTATTGTTCTTTCAATTTCATTTTTGACGTTGCACCCCACTCCTGCTGCAGTGCGCTGAGGGAAGTGGGGCGGCGTTGGGGATTTTGTGGGGGCCGTGATGGGAGGTCCCGCTGGCATTGCGCACTGCGTGTTGCTGCTGGCGTGGTTTGAAGGGGCTGAGCGTGGGAGACGGTAAGCGAGGTGCTTATGAATTTGTTTTTTGTATTTTTGATTTCTGCGGGGCGTCCCACACTGCAGATTCTCCGTGCGGGTGCGGGTGGGTGTTTCTTATGGCCGCGCACAACAGTCGCTGCTACCGCCGCCTTCTTTGCGGCTGCCGTCTCTTGTGGGGGGTGGCGAGTGTGTGATAGTGCGGCCCACGCGTTCGTCGGTGCGGTCTTCATTATGGATTGTTGCTGTTCTTTGCGTGATGCTCAACTGTGAGCGGGGGCGGTGCCTATCGTTTTTTTTTGTTTCACCTCACTTTTTTCCCTCAACACCCTCGGAAGGAAAGAGACCAAACGCTACTTGCTGCTGTGCACATTGAAAGACTCTGCAGTCACCACCAGCAACACACACACACACACACACAATCGTTGCGGCCTGAGCGGATCCACCACAAGGAGTGAAGGGAGACAGTGAGTGAGTGAGCAGCAACACATGCTCAATATGTCCCAGCACATGTTTTATTTTTCGGTGCAGCTCCTCTGCGTGCTGTTGATATGCTTTGGCAGTACGGCTGTGCACGCCGAGGAGGGAAATACGCCAAAGGAAGCGCAAACACCAGACCCTGTTGATCTTTTCGTGCCTAATCGAACGATCGTGGAAACACAAGGTGAAAGTCAAACAAGGGATTCCTTTGTCTCACCGTCCCTCACCAGTGCTGGTGGAGTGTTGGTTGCACTTGCGAGGGGTCACAGAAGCTTTAAATACTCCACGGGGGATCGTATTTCGGTGGATTATGCTGATGTTGTGGCGGGGTACATTGACCCTACGGAGAGCTGGTCGTCTTTTATTGATGAGGTCAATACAAACAAATGGAAATCACACAATATTTTTAGCATGTCTGTTCAAGTTGAGCATAAGCCGTATGTGAGGTGCGTGTTAAAACCCACAACGGTTGCAAAGGGCAGCAAAGTGTTTCTACTTGTGGGAGGCCATTATTTGAAATTTGATCCTTCATCGAAGAGTTGGATTGTGCTTTTACAGGGTCTTGATTTGCTCGTGGGTGAGGCCACACAAGATAAACTCATCCAATGGGGCAAACCCACCTCACTTTTATCACAGATCGAACCATCTGCTGAACAACGTGGCCTGGATCGGTTTGCAGGTGGTGGCTCAGGCGTTGTGATGGAGGATGGCACGTTTGTGTTTCCTCTGACGGCGAGGGATGCATTAGCTGACACTGTCTCCATGATCATTTATTCGAAGAACGACGACAAAAACTGGGTGCTTTCGCAGGGGATGCTCCCCGTGGGGTGCACTGACCCCCTCATCGTTGAGTGGGAGCAGGGGCAGCTTCTCATGATTGCCCAATGCAAGTTTGGCCCCAATGTGTTTGAATCGAGGGACATGGGGGCAACGTGGACGGAAGCTGGGTGGACACTTACAGGCCTGCAGCCCAGGTTTTCATCGGACTTCTTGCAAAGGGATTGGAGTGTCACATCCTTCACCACTGCGACCATTGCTGGAGAGAAGGTCATGCTGTACACTCAGAAAGAGGTTCCCCCTGGGGAGAGGGCGGCAAAAGCGCTCTACCTTTGGGTGGCTGACAACAACCGCACGTTTTACCTCGGGCCCATTTCCATGGACACTGCAGAGAAGTGGATGTCTGCCAACACCCTGCTGCACTCTAACGATGCATTGCACCTTTTACAAGAGTGGGACAGTACAGCGACCAAAGGCGTGTCTCTTGCTCCCCTAACGGAGGAGCTGAAGACGATCACGTCCGTCTTGGAGACTTGGGCAAAAGTGGACTCCTCCCTCTCCAAGTCGTCTGTGCCCACGGCCGGTTTGGTTGGATTTTTGTCGGGTGCATCGGGTGATGGAACTTGGAATGATGCGTACCGTTGCTTGAATGCAATTGTGACGAATGCAAAGAGGGCCGAAAATGGCTTTAAGTTCATGGGGTCCGAATCATACGCCATGTGGCCCGTGAACATGTGGAAGTATCACTATGTTGGCAGCTTTGTGAGTTACGCGTTTACGCTTGTGGCGACGGTGACCATTCATGAGGTTCCGAAAGAGAGCGCTCCTCTGCTGGGCGCGGGCTTGGAGGACAATGAAAACACGAAGTTTGTAGGGCTGTCGTACACGACGGAGAAACGGTGGGGTACAGTCTTCAACGGCATCACGACAACAACACACAACAGCACTTGGAAGCCGGGGAAGGAGTACCAGGTGGCGCTCATGCTGCAGGACAACAAGGGCTCCGTGTACGTGGACGGTGTGCTTGTGGGGAATACTAACACACTACCAACCCTTAGGTCACGGAGGCATGATATCTCTCATTTTTACTTTGGTGGCGGCAAAGACAGCAGTGTGACAGTAAAGAACGTCTTTTTGTACAACCGCCAACTAAGTGAAGATGAACTCAAAGCAGGTGACGACTCCCATGCATCCGAGCAACCTGCAGGTGACAGCTCCACGCGTGCGGATGTGTTCTGGGTGTCAATGTTGCTGCTAATTCTGCTATTGGGGCTATGGGGCTTTGGGGCTTTGTGCTGAGTGGAGCCCTGTGGAGGGGAGTTTGTGCTTCTACTGATAGCACCTCCGTCTCTCCATTGACTTTTTAAATGAAGTTTTAGGTGGACACGCATTTTTTTTTTTTTTGTAAAGCGAGACTTTTTTCCTTTTCTTTTCTCGCACCCACAAATTGCGTTCTTCTTTCGGCGCCAGCACCGCGGTGCCTTCAATTTTTTTATTCAATCCATTTTTGTTAGTTATATTGTTTGCCTCTATCAATAACGGGATACCATTCACCGTTTTTTTGTGTATTTTTGTTCAGTATTTTCTTGGTTTACTGCTTTACGGATGCCTTATTTTCGTTATTTTGCCTGTTATTTTTTTTTGAATTGTTCTCGGCGACTGCGTTGAGCCTGCGCGTTTACCCGGCGGCGGGGGAGATGCTTCACTGCGTCCCGCACTGCGTTCGCTGCAGGAGGGACCGGGGCTCTCTCCTTTACGTCTTGGTTTTTTTGGGGCGGGCGTGCGCCACGGTGCTGGCTGACGTGCAGGCCATCGAATTCGTTTGAAAAGACACGAAAAAAACAACAACAACTAACCGCTTTTTTTGGGCGGCTGCGGACGCTCTCGGCATTGTGTGCCCGCTGATGGGAGAAGGAAGGAAGGAAGGAATGAGAATTACAGCAACGCACCATAATTCCCTGTGGAAGTCTAACGGTGTCTGGACACCGGGGGCCTTTCGGTGGTTGAAGCGAATATGTAATTTATTTTTGTATGCGTCCAAAATCTGAGTGGAACTGTGGGGATCGTGCAGGGGTCTTCCACAACATTTTTTTTTGTTTTGTTTTGTGAAAATGTATTTAGAAGTAATTTTTTTTTGGTAAATCATATTTCTTGTGTGTTGCCACTGCGCGTGCTGCGGTGCCATTTTGAGTTTTGGTCATCTCTTTTTTTCCACCTTTGCGTCCTGCATCTCTTCTGTGTGTGTATGTGTGTCCTCACACGCTTTGCTCCTCTTTCCTCTCTTTCAATTTTTGTATTTGCAGGCACACACACACACACACACACTGAATATATATATACTGCAGTGTGCGTGGAGGATACTTTTGTAGTTGTTACTGACAGTGCCGCGTGTGGCTGTTGCTGCCTTCTTCCCGTGGGGATGAAGAGAGGAGGGAGACAAATGGGGAGGTGCGTTGTGGGCCATTCTCCCTTACCTTCCGAGTGCGGGGCACTGCGTGCGGAGGTGTTGTAGTGATTGGCAGTGCGGTGTGTATGCCGTGTCATTTGATGGTTGCATGCTCACTTCCCGTGAGTGTGCGCGTGGCCGTCGTGGGTGGCTGCTGGCGCGGTGTGACTTTCTTTGTATGGGTGCGTGCGGAATCTCCTATGCGCGTGGACTTGGTGGGATGCCGCCTTTTTGTTTTTTTTCGCTGCACTCTTTGCTACCTCTACTTCCCTTTCTCGCCTTTTTTTTCTTTCCTCCTTTGCCCTGCTGCCTCACAGCCCCGCTCACTGACTTCAGCAACTCTACAACCACTGACACCACAACGGATGACGATGGCGACGGTGCGGCGCCGTGCGGTGTTGGGCCCTGGCGGTCCTTGCGCTGCTGCTGCTGGTGCACAGCAGCTGCTTCGTGTGCGGGGCTGCTTCTGCTCCTTCTGAAACGAGGAAGGCTTCTGCAAAACATATATCTCTACCCTCTGTACTGCAAGGAAAGTGGAGCTGGGTGGAGGTGCCGTGCAAAGGCAATGAGAAGTTAAGTTGGCGCTTCCCTGGCACAAACGAGTGGCAGAATTGTCCAGTTGCGGTGGGAGGCTTTGACTACAAGGTGGACCCCGACACTGTTGATGGGGAGGAGGAGTTTGTCTTTATCGATGGGGTTGTGTCGGTGGATGTGACTGCTGGAGCAGCGAATGATGTTGGTGAGTCCATCTGCCACTTGGCTGAGTCGCTGTACGTCACTGCGAAGTGTGACGCGAGCTGCAGCGCAGCCGCAGACAGTGCGCAGAAGACGGCGTTCACGATGAACTTTTTGACGCACGCCAGCAGCGGAGTCTACAAGAAGTGGCAAGAAACGAACAAGGCCCACAGCGATTCGTCTGCTCCTTTCACTGCCGCGAACGCCAGCCCACTTGGCAAGCCAGGGATCTGTGCATTAACAGTTTCTGCCATAAAACCAGCTGGAGAGGCCGGCAGTACGCATGAAGGCACCCCGGCGGCACCTCCTCCAGGAGAAAAACCGGCACCGTCGTCGGAAGCCCCTGCAGCTCCGCCAGCCGGCACATCAGACAATGCGGCACATGGACCCGGACAGGCAGCTGCCTCTTCAACCCCTCAAGGCCCGCCCAACCCCTTCAGTTCCGTCCCTCCTGCCAGCGGCACTGATGGAACAACCACCACTACAACATCAACCCCAGTCAGCCCCGTTGCTGCGAAACACACGAAAAACCATGCGGACAGCAGTTACACCACCACCACGTTTTTGCCGACACCTCTGCTGCTGCCGCTGCTCGTGGCTGCCGTTGCCTGCGCTGCTGGGTGGGGGTGAGGACAACCACACGCACACACACACCCTGGCAGGGACGACGCATACCTTTTGTGCGTCCGGTTTGCCTCTCGTCCATGTGAGCGAACGTCTTTCCTGTGGTCTGAGGGATGTTTTTTTTTTTCATTTTCTTTTTATCTTTTTTGGTTTTTGGGAACAATCCGCATGGAGACATCTTTTTTCTGTTCTTCTCTGTTTAACTTGTTCTTCGCTGCACTCTCTTTTTGGGGTGCCGTGTGCGTCTTGCTTGGCTGCTGTTCTCACACCCACAGACACGCGGGCGAGGCAGGCCTTTTTTGGGCCTCGCTCGCTGTGCGTAGGAGGCGGTGGGCAGCGGCAAACTGCACAACGAAGGCCCTGTCGCGTATGTAGTCGTTAGCAGAGAGCCAGTGGGACGAGGCACATTTTTTTTTTTGCTTTTCTGCGGATGTGGGTGGGTTTCTTCTGTGCGTGGCGGGGACTGGCCGTTCCTCTTGCCGCTGGACGACTGCGCGGATTCAATGTTTTTTGTATATTTTTTCCTCTCTTGCTCCTTCTTTTTATCTCTTTTCCACATACACGCGGAAGGAAAGAGACCAAATGCTACTTGCTGCTGTTTACATTGAAGACTAAGCAGTCACCTCCAGCAACAAACAAACAAACACACACAAACACAATCATTGCGAGCTGAGCGGATCCACCACAAGGAGGGAAGGAATAAAAAGATTGTGAAAGCAACACATGCTCAACATGTCCCGGCACCTATTTTTTTCTACGATGCTTCTCCTCTGCGTGCTGTTGATATGCTGCAGCAGACAAGGTGCATACGCTGGATACGAAGAAGAGTGGGAGCCGGGTTATCGGCTACCCAAACAGCAGTCGTTTGCGAATGTAACCATTGATTTGAGTGCCAAAGATGGCTTCGATGCTGCAACGGATTCTTTCCGTGTCTCATGAGTTGCTCTTGTGAATGACGAGGTTATTGTCTTTGCCGAGGTGCACTCGAAAGGCTCCGTTGGTGTTGCTGCTGGCATTGCTGCAGGGAGCATCTCGTCTGATGCAGCGTCAGCCTCACAGGGCGGAATAGTGATTGATACGGAGCTGTCGGCGTACTTTCCGAAGGCAGTTGGCTCGTCGGGTGGAAGCGTCCCGCATGTCACGATGCCAACAATCATTACGAATGGGAGCACAGTTTACGTTCTGCTCGGAATGTACGGCACTCCGGGCTCTACTGGCAACAATAATGCACGCTACACAGACCTGCTGCTGGCAAAGGCGGTGTTCGGCGCCGGTGAAACGGGCAGCGTGCAGCCAAAGAAAATTAACTGGACTAGCACCTACGCACTGTGGCCCTATTTCCCCAACCAGATTTACTACAGGGGCATAACAGAGTTGGTGGGTGGGGGAGGCACTGGTGTTATTTTGAACGACGGAACGCTTATCTTTCCCGTCGAGGCCAGAAAGGCAGGAGGGACGGTGGTCTCTCTCGTCCTGCAGTCAAAAAAACCTGAGAGGGAATGGGAGCTTTCGTGGGGCACGACTGTGAGCGGCTGCTCCAACCCCGCCATTGTGGAGTGGGACAGGTGTTATGGGGAGCTCTACATGATCACCTCTTGTGATGAGGGCTTCTACAGGGTGGTGAGGTCCCGTTACTGGGGAGAAGAGTGGATGGAGGAAGACGCGATACTTTCTCGCCTGTGGGGCACCTCACACAATCGACAAGAGAATGGCGTTCGAAGCGGCTTTACCACTGCCACCATTTGGGGTAAGAAGCTGATGCTCTTCACCGATGCCGGTGTATTCGGAGGACTCAGGCAACAAAAA